ACCAGTCTCCAGGATCCAGGGAAGGAATAATGGTCCCCAGGGAAACCATGTGGAACTTCAACTTCACCATGAATTTGTTGAGTCCGCGCAGGTCCAGAATGGGCCGTAGCCCCCCTTTTGCCTTGGGGATTAGGAAGTAACGGGAGTAAAACCTCCTGCCCCGCAGTTCTCTTGGAACCTCTTCTATCGCCCCGATAGCCAGGAGTGACTGCACTTCCTGCAGGAGGAGTTGCTCATGAGAGGGGTCCCTGAAGACGGATGGGGAGGGAAGGTGAGAAGGGGGGGACAAAACAAATTGGAGTCAGTATCCACTTTCCACCATGCGTAGGACCCAACGGTCCGATGTTATGTGGGACCACGCAGGGAGGAAATAGGAGAGTCGGTTGGTGAAAGGTGGGTAAAGGATCCTGAAAGGAGACTGGTGCTCCGTCCTCGGGCGCACCTTCAAAAGTTTTGCTTGGGCCCCACCGATGGTTTGGGGGGGTCCTGATTCTGACCCCTCTGAGGGCCAGATTGTCTCCTCCTTCCACCCCGCCCACATCTCGAGAAGTCCTGCCTTGGCCGAGGGGGAGGGTAGAATCTCTGGGGCTGCGGCCTGAAGGACCTTCTCTGCGTTACCGGCGTATGCATGCGCAGTGAATGCATGATGGCCCAGTTGTCCTTCAGACTCTGCAGCCTTGAGTCTGTCTTTTCAGAGAACAGACCCTGGCCCTTGAAGGGTAGGTCCTGGAGAGTCTGTTGCAACTCTGGTGGTAATCCAGAGACCTGCAGCCATGAGATGCGGCGCATGGCTTTGCCCGAGGCCAGGGTTCTAGCCGCCGAGTCCACCACGTCCAGAGAGGCTTGTAAGGAGGTTCTGGCACCTTCTTGCCCTCCTCTACTAGAGCTCCAAACTCTTCCCTGGACTCCTGTGAGACCAACTCTTTGAATTTGGACACAGACACCCATGAATTATAGTCATAACGGCTCAGGAGTGCCTGTTGGTTGGCCACCCTGAGCTGTAAGCCTCCCCCCGAGTACACCTTGCGTCCAAACAAGTCTAGGCGCCTAGCATCCTTTGACTTAGGCGCAGGGGCCTGCTGGTCCTAGCGTTCCTTCTCGTTGACCGAAGCCACGACAAGGGAGCACGGTTTGGGGGTGGGGTGTAAAGGAACCTGTATTTCTGAGAGGGAACAAAGTACTTCCTTTCCACGCCTTTGGCCGTCGGTGGAATAGACTACCAGATTGTCTTGGCAGTGGCCTGTATAGTCCTTATGACGGGGAGGTCCATTCAGGACGATGTCTCCGCCAACAGAATGTCCACCACAGGGTCCTCTATCTCCACCATTTCCTCCACTTGGAGGTTCATATTGCGCCCCACTCTGCGGAGCAGTTCCTGGTGGGTGCAGAGGTCCATAGGGGGAGGACCCATAACTGTAGGACCATCCAGTGAGGACGAGGAAGATACCCCTGGGACTAAAGGATCCTGGGTGAGGTCCTCCTGTGGAGGGTCTGGCTGTTTAAGGTCCGTCATGTTAGCCAGGTGGGCCCCCAATGGTACTGGAGCAGTTACCTCAGCATCCCCCGTGGGGGCAAGACACGTGGCCTCCGGTACTCGAGGCTCCAAAGGGACGGAACGAGAGGTCCTTGAAGGAGCCCCTTGGGCTTGATGGTATGCCCAAGGGGTCCAAAAGGACCACTGTGGGGGTTCCTGGCCCGGGTCCTGGCTTTCTTCCAGCCACTGGTCTGCATCGCCCTCGCCCTGGTCCTGGGCATGGAAGCCACCTTGAGAGTGTGATGACGCAGAAGCGGAGCGGGACGGCCAAGGCGGTGCAGTATGGGAGGGTGCCGAGTCCCTAGGTGCCATGCGGTGCACCGGTGCCGAGGACCGGTGGCATAATGTGGAGCGGTACCGAGATGGCGAACGGTGCCTGCGGTCATAGCGGTACCGTGAGCCTGATCTAGAGCTCGATGTAGACCTCCGACGAGATTGGCCACGAGACCGGCTCCAGGACCAGTACTGGGAGCAGTGCTGAGAGTCAGATCGGTACAGGCCGTACCGTGATTCAGAACTCTGGGAGCTGGAGCGGCAGCGCGAGTGCGACCGGTGCTGAGAATGAGATCAGTGCTGGGACTGCGACCGGCGCCGAGATGGGTGCCAGGACCACAACCAGGATCCTGCTTCGCTGGGTGACGGCGGTCGCATCAGGGATGGCTTCCCTTTTGATCGGAGCGTCCGCACCGGTGGTGCCGGGGGCTGCTGAAAACCGGCTCCGTTAGCGTGATCAAGTCCTGCGCTGTTGAGAAGGTCTCCGGTGTAGAAGGCAGTCCTAGCTCAACCACAGTGTGCCCCAGGGAGCTCACAGGCGCTGGACTCGACGGCCCTTGCGGTGCTGGAGTCGACGGCGCCGGGGCCGCTAGTTGTCCCACGCACTCCGGCAACGGACGCGGCTCTGGCTGCGGTGCGGGAGGCGCCGGCGAGCTGGAAGCGGTCGTCACCTGTTTGGGATGTTTCTTCCTTTGACTCGGAGACAGGGATCGGCGCCGTGGTGGTGGAGGCGCCATGGAGGTCTGGCGCGCATCTTTCGACGAGTCCAAACGTGGTGCCCGACCAGTCAGTGCCGCGGGGGCACTCCGCACCAACCATGACAGTGCCGGGTCCTGCGAAGTGGAAGGGACCGAGCTAAGTGCTGCCTCCATGAGGAGCTGCTTCGGTCTAGAGCCCCGCTCCGTTCTGATGAGAACTCTTAACACGTACGAACAACAAATGCTAGGGAGAGTGGAGAACAGCTATCTGCGCTCCACAGTTCCAATGAGCGTCACGGGCGGTAAGAAGGAACTGGGGGGCGCTGGGTCGGCAGGGGCATATATCCAGCACCATAAGTGCGCCACTCCAGGGGCGCCTCAGCCGACCCACCGAGTGTTGCTAGGGTAAAAATCTTCCGATGATCGTGCACGCTGCACGCACAAACCTAATTGGAATTGGTATGAGCAAGCACTTGAAGAACTAAAAGTAGTTTAGGGTCAATGCCCGCCCCACCCCAGAATCCTCTGCTAATTATTACATCCATGTTTCCCTTTTTAGGCCCCCACTCATTCAAGACCCACACCAGACAAACAGGGAGATCTGCCCATAGACAGACAGCAACAGAGACCAGAGAAAATGCTGCAAAGAGGAAACTGGGCAAACTAGGAAGGCTATTTGCCTTGCTCCCATAGCTGCAGTGATGCCAACCCCAACTGGTAAAAAATAATGATGGGCCTCAAACCAAATCTTGAGATTGGCTTCAAAATCATGAGATTTTATAACTACCTGGCAGGGTGTTTTTATTCACTTCCTGCTATGGGGACTTTTAAAAGGTCACCTGGTTCAAGCTTCTCTCTGCAATGAAGAGGGCGAGACGGGGAGGGATTTTCCCCTTGTGGAAATTAACTGAAAGAGCTACAGTAGCACATAGCGACTCCAGTCAAATTTCCCCATGCAGACAAGCCCTGATTGCTTTTTAATCAAACTCGCATGATTTGGTGACTGATACTTTAAGAATCCCCACCCACAAATAGTATCAGCCTTGTGCCCAAAGCACAAAGGTTGCTACGAGTAACAATATGAAGGTTACATTAAAAAATTGCAGCCGTGCTCCTTTGTACAGACAGTGGCGGCCAGAGGCAGAGTTGGGCAGGAGTTTTATCGCCAGAAAATGCAGATTTATAGACAAGAAAACTTTTCAAGGACAGATTGGTTTCAATGAAAGGTTTCTCAGGTCAAAACGAGACCCCCCCACCACCACCACCAGTAACCCAGTGTTTTGGACACTCACCTCTGCTGTGGAAGACCCAGGTTCAAGGTCCTGCTCTGACTCACTCCAATGTAGAATGGGAACAAATTTGAAACCCTCCAATTCCTTAACAAAACACAATTGGTTTCCAGCCTGATCGCACTTGGAACCCCCTTGTGCAAGGGGCTGTACAGAAGGGCTCATCACTTACACTTTATTCCTGATAAACTGCCTTTCATTCAGAGGAATTAGCTGGCATCTCATTACCTGATCCCTGCAATAAGGAAGGTGTGTACATAGCCACATTTAGATGGAAGTATTCTGCTTCTGGCAATCCCCCCGCTGCTAGTGCACTACATTGCTGCACACCGGGGTCGGCCTGGCTGTTCACCTCCCCAGCCCCGGCCTCAGAAATGGCTAGATTATCGATTCAGACAGGACCACTGCGAGCACCTCGTCTGACCTGCGTAACACAGGCCACAGGACTTACCTGAATCAACTCCTGGTAGAATTGGAGCAGATCGTTTAGAAAAACCTCTATCTCGATTTAAACAGTGTCAGTGATGAAGAATCCACCACAATGCTTGGTGAATTGTTCCAATGGCTAATTACACCCCGGTTAAAAATCTGCCCTTTTTTCCAGTCTGAATGTTCCTAGTTTCAGCTTCCAGCCACGGGCTCTCCTTAGACCTTTGTCTGCTTGAGGGACTAGCTCATTATCACAGTTATTCCCCTAGGTACTTCGAGACAGGGATCACAGCACCCCTTAACCTTCGCTTTAAGAAGCTCCTTGTGTCTCAGCATAAGGCAGGTTCCCCCCAATTTAATCGTTCTCACGGCAACTCTCTGCCGCTCTCCAATTTTTCACTTCCTTCTCGAATTGTGGGCACCACCTGGCCATGGCATTCCAGCAGCTATCGCCTCCCCACCAGACACAGAGATAAAATATCCTCTCCACTGCTGCCTGCGATGCCCGTTTATCCATCGACCAGACGCCACCTCCCCATTTAAGCGCAGACACTCGTCCCTTTGAGATTCCAACTCCAGGCGAGTTCAGGTACCACTAATGGCAGCTGCCACCACCCCTCCCCCCCGCCACATCTCTGAACTCCTTGGGCTTCCGGGGAGAGGAACAGCTCCCGGCTCATCACAGCAACAACAACTGTCCCCTGGAGCCGAACAGCCCACACGCCAGTCTGATTTTTTTTTAAACAAAATTTTATTGATAATTATTTCAAATATGTTACAAAAAAGCACACTGTTAAAGAGGAAGTGGAGGCTGGTGGGGGAGGGTTGTTTTCTGTTTTCCAGTGAAACAGGTTTTGTCGGAGGACACAGACGTCTTTCCCGGGGGGAGGAGGGGGCGGATCATATCCCCACCCTCTAGATGGGACTCTCAAGCTTCTTTGTGGGAAAGGGGGATTTTGGGGGGAGGGCTAGCCACAGGCCCCCCCCCTCCGCTCCTGACAGTGCTCATGTATTTATAAAATATATAATTTATCTATTAAACCAAAATCCAACCCCGCCCCCACCTGCACCGCGCGCCCCCTCCCGGGGGGCGCTGGCCCTAGAACTCAGCAAACTCCTTGGCGCACTTCTCAGTGACCGAGACCCGGATCTCCTCTTCCTCGTAGTCGTCGAAGTTACTTGTGTCACTGGGGCCTTCGCACTTTGGTATAAAAGGAGCTTCCACCTGCAAAGGAAGGGGAGGGGGACGAGGTGAGGGATCAACATTTGTATACCCACCCCCACTCCTGGGTCTGCTAGGGGCGCACGATCAGGCCCCAACTTTGTAACAAGGCAGGCAAGGATCAGCTACCCTCCCCCAAATCCAGCCAGAAACCCTCACACTTTGCAATCATGGAAGGGGGAGCCCATGACCTCACAGAATCAGGGCCCTCAGCACTCTTAAGGGATACAGGATCGGGCCCCTTAGCAACCAGGTGAGGGATGCAGAATCAGCGCCTCCTCAAGTCCCCTTTTATCTAGCCAGAACTCCCTCCTCTCACTTTGCAATCAGGGAAGGGCAGGGGGCCATGAGCCCCTTGGATCCCTGTAAGAGCTTTAATC